ACATTTCCATAATTTTTTTTATGATTTATATAGGAGCAAAATTAGATAAAAATCGAACAGATTGGTAAATATATCAAATAATTCAGAAAATTTCTACATTTTATATTTTGCAGATGAACTGGAAATATTCTTGTGAAATATTTTATTATTGGCACCCTTTAAAAGAAAAAAAAATGCCATTGGGCCCTCTGGCCTTCTTCAGGTAACCTTCAAGAGTATTTTAAACTGAACAATGTATTCAGTCAATGAGGGTATATTTGTTTCCATTCCATTGTCTATGTCTTTGTATTTATAGTCTTGGTAGACCTTTTAGTACTTCTCAGTTATTACTAGTTTTGTTTAACCACCACCAACACCCACTCAGAGTTGGACTATCATCATCATCATCTTTCAACCTCTTTGTGGTTGGTCAGAACTCCATTAACAATCCTTTTCCACACTCCTCGGTCCAAGTCCCGAGCCATGGTGTCTGGGAAAGTCAACTTTGCAAGAAGACACCTCCAGAAGGATGCCATAGAAATAAGTATGAGGTGACCTCCCCACCAATTTGGTGGCAGTGGCAGGCAAACTGCAATTGCTTTTGCTTGAGCTTAAGAGAGATTGGTCTCAGTTGCATGGAATCTTCAACAGATGTTCTTGATTTTTCTAAAGAGATATGTTCCATCCAGTCATCTTTCAAGACAAACAGATAATGTCCAAGTTTCTGATCAATACAGTCGGACTGGTTCAATCAATATTCGAAAGGTTTGGACTTTTAAGGAGGTTGGAAGGTTCGAGCACCAAATCTTGTGAAGTTTGTTACATGCATCCCATGCAAGAGCTTTGCGAATGTTGAGGTCTTTTGGGGAATTTATTATGTGACATCCAAGATATTTGAAGTCCTCAACTCTTGATGGATGTATTATTAAGCAATTTCAACTCAGATGGTTCATGGGAGGCTGTGATATATTCTATTTTACTCACATTGCAACAGAGACCTGCCTGGTTTGCTACAACAAGGAATCTGCATCTTTGATACATTGAGAAATTAATCCAAGATCAGCAAATTCAAGGTCAGTCAGGTATCATGGAGAGTACAGACTACTTCAGTGAGGTTTCAAAAGGAGTCCCATGTTATCGAGAGAAATACACAGAACATAGTCCAGAACAACTATAAACAGAAAAGAGCAAGTGTGTTGCCTTGTGGAATACCTGCTTTAACTTCAAAGGAATCAGAAGTTGGATTATACCAGTAGTAACAGTACTCACAATTCACCAAATTCATTAACCATCACTTTAATTGTCCTTTGGAAAAATCCTGAAGCTATAACTTGAAGCCTTAAATGTAATGTTCTTGTCTCTTCTGCTGTTGTTGCTGCTGCTGCAGTCTTGTTACCAAGCTTAGTTACATCTACTGCTGCTTCTCTTTCTTTTATATGGCCTTCCTTTGCCAATGTAATCTTTTTGCAATATCCCTGTATTACTAGTTGCTCGTATTTTTGGCAGTTTCTTTGTTTGTGGTTTCTATATGGTATTAATATCTATATTAGGCCTACTGAGGAGGCTGTCATAGCTTAGCATATGTGCTAATTCCTGCAGACATCTGATTCACTAGTGTTGTTCTCTATCTAGTATTCTTGAGCACATTTTTCATCTGTATATGATCAGATATATTTCTTTCTTTTTTCATCTGTTTATCCTGATATATTCCATTGTCTCAACACTATTGTTTTTTCAATGTTCTTCCATCCTGATTTAACTTTTGTGACAAATGCAAATTTTTGGTTTTGTTTAGGCTTGACTTAGGCAGAGATGTCTCCATAATGTTGAGCTGCTTCTGAATATTGTCCTAGTGTTGTATGATCTTTTTAATACTTTCACACATTTAAGTGGAGTAGACCATGGCAGTATTCCAATCTTCCTCCCTTACTCTTCTGTCACTGCCTGCATAAGTTAATGTTATGTTTAGGTAGTTGTTATTATGAACGGTATGTTTGATACCAATCATCTCCTGATGGTATGGGTTCATATTGTTAGTTATGAGTTTTTTTGCACAATATTGTGCAATGGTCCCTTTGTCTATGGATGGTTAGAATTGAAGTTAAGGCATTGTCTGGTGATGGTTGGCTTGTGAAATATTGATAGGACTTGGTATGACCAAGCAATTGATTGGATCAAGCCTTTCTGATTACCTGTCTAGTCCAAGATTATTGGGGTTCATATGTCCATTCAATGTTTGGGATCATAAGCTGCTCAGCTACTAATATCTCATTCTCTGGTCAACATACAACTTCTTTGTGGTGGTGGTGGGCTACTCCTTTTCAGAAGATGCTGTATATTCTAATGCAAATTGATGCTAATCATCATAATTAGAGGGGTAGCAAATTCATTTATCTTAATCTAGCTTTCATGTTAGGTAACATCTGTAATTTTGAGAAGCGTCATTATCATTACAAGAATTGTTTGGATAGCTAACTCATTATTTTTGTTACTTTTGCTGTTATCACAATGTTTCAGCCGATCCATTTTACAGCTTTCTCCAATTATACAGTTCATCTGGAAAGAGACATCTCTTTTTTTTTTTTTTTTTTTTTTGTAACAATCCAAATCAAAAAATGATTGCAAACATAACATAAATAGTATGGCTAAAAAGAAGGAGTTCTTGTTTCCTGCATTTTCTGATAACCGTCATTTTTAATATATTCTATGCTACAACAATCATTAGGCAATCATATTTCATACATGCTGTATTTGTCCATTCTTCTCTGACAAATTTGGCCATTGGTGATGAACATTGTTGTAGCAGGATACACTTCATACTGCTTTTGTCAACATTAATAGTATAAACTGTAATTGTAAACTGAAAACTCTAACCATAACTTCATGAAGAAGTTAATCAAATGAAAAGTATTAGAAACATCTTCAAGATAGTATAGTTCACATTTAAAGGTTGGCTGAGGAACATAACTGAATAGCCAAAAGTGCAAATTTAGTTTAAGAGACTGCTTAAAAGCATGACATTATAAGAATAAATACACAAGTGAAATTTAATAGTTCATAATGCTTTAAAAAGTTAGCCAAATCTTATGTCTTTTTTTTTTTACTTTGGAAAATAATAAGAGTAAATTTCTGTAACCTTTATAAGAGCCAAATAAGTAGAATGATAATGATTTATGAAGGAAAATTTAAATAAATAAAATACAAGTTGTAAATATTTGGTAATGTAAGTTTATTCAGTTTATCGAGTAAGACAAGATTTTGAATTTTTGTCATTAACTCTACTGAAGAACATTTTGTTCCACAATCTTTTATCTTTCAGTCAAATTCATAAATTCTATCCACCTAAAACTTGTATTTTTCTCACCAAATATTTGTTAGTCAACCAGAGAAATGAAACTATTTGGACTTTTGTGAGAAAGTCGAGAGCAATCAGTTTCATACTATGATTAAAATGAAGTCAATCTATTTAGGGACATCAGTTGGTTCCTGTACACGGGCTTTTCTCATCGCTTGGTTTGATGAGGTAAGTTGCCATTTTCTTTGTTATAAATCAACACTTATTTAAAGTTACCAAACTTACTAAAGAGGATTTCCATTGTGACTCTTCCTCTTCATGGAATTTTAACACATTCCATATTACAAACAGTGATATTTTACTTACTAGGACCTATAAAAGCTTTATTCCCCTACCTACTATTGTAGGCAACTATTACTATTATAAGCAACAATACAGCTGAAAATGATGATTCCTTCCTGTAAACTTCTTTTAAACCTCAGACAAACACAAACCAAAAACCATAGCACAATAAAAAAAAGTCTTTTCTAGAGATCTAGAAAGACCTATAAAAATGTAAAATCTTCAGAACACCAAACAGTGGGTGTCTGAAGACTTCCTCCTACTGATCTGCTATATTAGGTACCAAAGGCAATAGTAGTTTTATTGATATTGCTCTCAATAAATAAGAGAAATGTCAAAGGGCCAAGCAGTGTAGGTGTGTTGCAGAAGAAGAAAAAAAGAAGGAATGGAGCAAAAGAGAAGAGAGGAGCAAGTTAATCCATTTCTAATTTTTAATGTCAAATGTTTAAAGCAAAGGTCAATTTCTGACTGAAAAAGGTTTGCATTCACTTTGCACTTTCTTACCCACCCCTGTACTAGGACTCGGTTCTCTAGCCTGGATTGGCAACCAGTCAAGGAAAAGGACAATTCTGAGTTCAAACAAAAGAAGTCAACACTCCATAATGTTCATTTATGACAAAATTAATTCATTCCTTCAGAACATGACACTTAGAAAACTGATTAAATTAAAAAATTACAAATAAATAAGTTGTAGAAAGAAAATTTGTTATTGGTTCTAAATCAGCTTTAATAATCCAAGTTAACTATGAAGCTGTTGTTGCCAATGTCTGTAATAATTATAGGGGAGTGATTTGCCCAAATTCTCACTCAGCCACTTACTCTCTTCTGTCACCCAGAATGATATGTCTGTGATGGAACATTTTATCAAGATATTTGGTAATAGAATCACAGAAGAAATTGAATTTGCCTTTTCATTGGTAGAAAATGAACATCAACAACCTCAGCCAATAATTCAAACTAAGTTTACCAGTATCATTTTCTGTACTGATAATCATTATCAAACCAAATGCCATTTAATTTATAAATAGCTTAGTGTTAAATAACAGTCTCAGTATTTGACTAAAGTTTAGTAGCAATTAAGTTCAGCTCAGAACTACCTTCAACTGAAGTGCAAATACAAAGAGGAGATGAAACATTTTTTAATGTGAAGTTTTTGAAAAATTTAAAAAAAAAAAAAGTGTAAATATAAAAATTATTCTCATTATATTTTATCCTATTTGTTACTGAAATCAATACTTCTTGTCTGATTATACCATGGTAACAGTTTATATAAACTATAATTGTTGTTTTTTTTGGGTTTTTTTTTTATAAGAAACAATATAAACATGAGAATCAACTATAATAAAAGGATTTTTTTTTAATAATAAGGAAGAAACAAGCTTACCTTTAAGACTAAGAGTTTTATGTCTGTTCCAACAGTTTTGGACACTCTAAAAATAAAAACAGAAAAACTGAATGTAAAATATTTGGGAATTTTTATAGCTACATCAGTAGCAGTAATAGCATAAAATTATACATAGATATTGTGTGTTGAAAATATTTACAAAATTTTTAAATTTATAGAGTGTGTTTCATATTTCATGATACATAAATGAGGTGGTGTTGATCTGATCCAGTTCCCAAATGGCCAAACAACAGAATTTTTTGAAAGAGCTTCTTAGTCAGACATGGAACTTTTCAGCAACTATCATTATTATTGCATGGACAAATTCAAATGCTTACAAATGAATACAGTGCAATGCTTAAACTTGGATATTACAATTAGTTCATAATTCTGTTAACAACAGGTAAATTACTGATGATACTTTTAAGTTCATTCCAAGAGTGAACAAATAGATCAATCAAAAAGATTTTTAAAAAAAAGGGAAATTTACATCCAATTGTTGATGATTTTACAAAGAAATAGTAGCGGAACAACAACAAAAAAAAAGAAACAGATGATAATGTAGTTAAATGAGGTTATATTCCTCTGGCGTTGCTCATACAACACTTCTTTTCAATATGCCGTTCTTCAATTCCCGCAGAATTGATATGATGAATGCTTGTAAAAAATCAAAATTATGTTACATTTTAAAAATGTGAGGAAAAAAAAAAATTATATTATCAAAATAATGAGGATATAGTTAAAATGAATCAATATTAGGCTCAAACTATCATGATATAGGAATAACTTTTTAGGTCAAAATAGAAGTTTGTAAGGTTTGTTTAAGTGATTTTCAAAGACAAGACTTAGATATTTGCACAGTTTACTCAATCATATATGTGCTATTTTATTCCCTTTTAAAAGACAATGCCCTTCCAATTTCAGTAGATACACTGTATCAGCTTCTTCAGGTGCAGACTCCAGCTTTCTTTTTATACAGGTCCAATTTTTGCACCTCTTTGTTGTGAACAATCCAATTTTAACCAGTTGTGATCATTCTCTTCATAAATGGGTCATTTTTGTTGTGAATTACAAATGCATATGTGATCTATTAAATTTATTTCCAATAAATTGTGAGGCCCCCAAACATTATAGTGATTCATGTATCCAAGATTTTTTCAAAACCTTACAACAATATGGATTATTTCTGTGATGTCCCATGTTGTATAACATGGATTATTTTTAATCAGCATTTTGATTTGATCATCATCAATAACTGCAGACCTACCAGAATATTCTCGGCCTTCCACTTCCACTTCTGAAACTAACAAATCACCACCTCCACAAATGGCACACATCTTTTTTGTTGTTTGTCCAGCAATGTTTATTTTCTGGAAATTAAGGAGCATTAAATGATAAAAAAGCATTTCATTTTCTTTCATTTTTAACGTAAAAAGACATTTTTAAAATTCCCAACCTACACACAAATCCTATAGAAAGACATGCTGAAATGTCACCTTTCAGAATCATGTATATGTGTCAAATTTCAGTCATGTGCAAAAAACTAGCTATTAAAAACATTACAAACCTTTGTTCTAACCAAATACATTCAACTTAAAATACTTTGAACAAATATAATTAAGATTCAGAGCATATTAAATCTGGATAAACAAAACAACATTTCAATGTATGTAGTTCAAATTTCACTCTATTCCAAAATAATAATATCAAAATCTTAGTGTTCCAAATCAATGATATTGAACACAACTGAAAAAAGGATTTCTTTTTTATATATAATTTCAACTTGAACAAAACAAAACAATAAAGCCATTGAAAAACAAGGGGTTACTGAATGTGAAAGAATATGACAAAAAGAAATTATTAAGGGAGAGAGAACAATAAAAGAACAAGAATTAAAAAGACAGAAGATAACAATTGACATTGTGTTTAAATTTTTGAAGATCAAAGTTGGCTGGTAAACAAGAAGTCAGAAGAGATTTCTACAAGTGAGAAGTGCAAGAGAAGAAATTGCTAGCAGAGAACTTATGGTTACATCTAGCCGCCATTTCAACTGTAAAATGGTAAGAGCTTAACACCAATCTAGTAGTATGCTTAAATTCATAAAGTCTAGGTACCAAAGTGGAAAGTTCATCAGAACAATTACCATGAAGATATTTATGCTAAGATACTAGGTCAGGACCAATAATGTTGCAAATTCTTTTTATCAAGTATCTCTCAAAACCTAGAAGAAGCACCAGACCAAATGTAGCAGCAATATTCAATACAAGGACAAATGGTAGACTTATAAATGTGTAAAGTAGATTATAGCAAGAAAAAATTGATTGCACAACACAGTGAACCAACTTTCCTAGCAGCACACCTAGCAATTGATACAATGTAATTGTTCCAATTTATGTTAGTGGGAAACGTTAGCCTGAGAAGGAACAAGGAATCACTCTCCTAGAGGTTAACATCAGCAATGCTGATGGAAGATAAAAAAGGTTCTCTAAGATGATTAAAAGAGATCAGTTTCATTTTGGAAGTTTTAAAAATAACAAACCATTTCTTGTCCCATTTAGCAACAGAATGTAAATAATTTTTGAGAACAACCAATTTGACCTTATTGAACCAATCAGACCTACGATTAAGACAAAAATAGATCCCTTCATGAAGACAAATTACAGTTGATTCATTTTTCTATGTAGAGAAACCAACTTTATCTTTTGCATTTTTGTTGATGTAGTATTATTTCTATTCTCTAACTATAAACTGAAGTGCCAAAAAATTCAAGATGACTAACTAATAATGTGTAGCCCCAACTCCCTTTGTCTGAATAATGATGTCACTATCTATCCAAGCACATTCCAGGGCTGTCCATAACATAGTTATATGTATTGGGTATGGCTGCAGGAAATACAGCAGACTGCAGCATGTTCTATACATGCTCAATGGGGTTTAAATCAGGCAAATGCAGGAACCAATGGAGTATCTAAAAAGTTCCTGCAACTAATTTTGTGATATTGACACATGATGGGAAGGTCTTGCTGGAAGAAAAACATCACCACAGGAAACAATGTAAATTGCTTACAACAAGGTGTTTATACCATACTTGTCAAGAGGACTCCTGTTTCACTTGCCAACTGTAGCAAAACACACACTTTACCATTACAGAGTTATCACCAGCTTGCACAACAGCTGGTAGACTGGTTTCATGGCTTTGTGCGATCTCCTCTACCATCTGCCTGCAAGAGCTAGAAATGAGATTTGTTTGATTAAGAAACACACCACAAATCATCTATGCTCCAATGGCAGTCCTTTCTGATACAGTTATCTTGTTGATTAGCAACTACAAAACTATGGAATGCATTGAGGAGTTCAGTGGTACTAGCATTGAACTGGGTTATGATTCCCTTTTGTAAGATGGTTAACATCTTTGTTAGTTGCTGGTGTTTCCATTCTAGCCTCACCTCTGGGTGCCTGCAGTTTTCATGTGCTGCTGATGTTTGTTCACAATTCACATATTTCTGATACAACCTTGCTACTGTTTCTAAAAGAAAGCATAGAGCAGTTACCATATCAATTGTTCCATGATTAAGTGGCATGAAATACTGTCTATGTTCCATCACTACCAACATTTCACTACTTTTTTTTAATCTATTATATCATATATAGGTCATCTTGCCAAGTCCATTTCTACAAGTGGGAGATCATCTAGCATATATCTATAATTTTGGGTTTCTCTTTATATAAAATTTTAATAAATAATTCATAATATTTTTATCTAATCACATTGTAAATTTAATTTTAAGACACTTTCTTTGATTTTGATATAAGTACCTAAATGAATATCTCCATTTATGAGCATGGATGTATTTACTGCTAATATTTTTAGTTTTAACAATTTTCATTGTAATTGTTCTGATGAGCTTTCCTCTTTGATACCTTCACTTTATGAATTTAAATGCAGTACTAGATTGGCAGCTAGGTCTCATTTTACAGTTGAAATCGCTAGATGTAATTAAGTTCTATGCTAATAATTTTTTTCTCTTTCACTTCACACTTGCAAAATTCTCTTCAAGCTTTTTGCTTTCCAGTGAGTCTTGACTTTTAAAAATTTAAATGCAATGTCAATCATTATCTTGTCTCCTTAATTCTTGTTATTTTATTGTTCTCTCTACTTCATTTTTTTCTCAGATTCTTTCACACTAACCTCAATAACCTCTTAGTGACTTTATTGCTTTGCTTAGGGTGAAATGATAAGAAAAAATTTAGGCAAAATCAATTTCAATTAACTTAAAATATGTGACAAAAAACCAATTGATTGTATCTGCACACATATTTAAACAAAAAAATATGAAGATTATTTACAATTAAAAGTAAATTTCTATGTACAGTATTTGAGTGTTTATGTATTTGGAAAATAAAAGATAAAATCTGATCAAAGCTTCAAATAATGTTGATACTTATTTTAAACATTTATCAATGTTTACTTTATAAAAAATAATTTTTGTCTATTTTTAATCTATTAATATTAAATTCACCAGAAACTGTTAAATAATTATTACAAGTTTATAGATCTGTGCTTAACAAAATTGGTTGTTCAGTAATTATTTGCATTGAGTCAAGATTTAACACAATTTACCTCTTAAATCCTTAAAAAATAAAAAGTCTAGGACAAAGAAAAATTCAATTCAAATAGAATTGAAAATTTTAAAAAGTAAATTTGGAAGTGTTTAAAAAGAAAACAAAATCACATATGTTCATTTTCATGCCCATTCATTTTGAATGGTAAGAATTTATAAAAAATGTTAGAGACAAGCTTCTAATCTAACATGATCAGTGAAGTTATCAAATCTAGCTTTATTCTTTGAACATAATTCACATTTCAAAAATAAATTACTGAACAATATTTATAATAGTCAGCAGACAGAAAAGTAAAAATTGTATTTGAAAGTATTTAAAAAATACTATTACTTTCAATGTTGCTAATAAAAGGAATGAGAGTAAAGGTCAAATATGATTTATCAGTCTGTAAGCTATGGATTTGTTATTTTCTCTACTGTTTCA